CCTGTCTGCTGAAACCTCTTACACACACACACACACACACACACACACACACACACATACACACACTGTCACATTAGTTAAATCATACAATTTGCTTATTATGAGAGCGTTTGTCTAGCCAGCTCTCTTTATAATGAATGGGACCTATTTAGAAGGAGTTATAGTACAAATGATTATAGAAAAACATTCAGGCAACTCCAAGCCTTCCATTAAGTTGTGGCCATGCATTTACATAGTTTTTATTGTCTTACATTTTCAGGAATATAGATTAATGACATTCACTAGCTGCTGCTGTTGTAGCAAATGAACACTGTCTCTCTCTTCTCTTTTCCTCCTTTATCTCCCTTTTGTCTCTCTCTGCCCTGCAGTCACCATGTTAAAGTAACAGCTCTTTAATTGATAGAATTGGAAATATTCAGTGTTACTTACAATTGATCTTTTTTACTGTTGTCTTTTAAAAGCTCATCATTTGAATGTACGTGCTCATAATCTGACATTTCAACAAACAAATCTTATATATACTGCTCAGACATTACCTTGTCCACATCATCTCTCATTTACGTCAGCCCTAGGAACGATCTGTCTCCGTTCAAGCAATCCTTAATACAATATCCAGATGAGTGTGTGGAATAAATCCCTGCAGCTGAATATCCTGAAACAAGTTATGTTTACTGATTTCCCTTGGATTTTTTTAGTGTCACATGCCATGAATAATGGAATGTAACTTGTTTAGATGAACAATTGTAGAGTCATAGCATCTCAGAGACTGTTTACACCTGGTATTAACATGCTTCTTGGGTGATCTGAACACAAATCTTTGAGTATTTATGTCCATTCTTTTAGTTCAGTGGCAACACTAGCCTGTTGCTTTTACTTGCACTGTCAGCCGCCCTGCAGGAGAGACGCTGATGTGCTGTGGAATTTTATAACTTAACTTTAGTTTAGTAGGACACACACTTTTTTTAACTGCGTGTGCGTCCTGCTCCCACCACAAAGCGTCTTTCCTGCCCCCTGGCTGCTGAGAAGGATGCCAGCCCAAGTGTCAGTCACAGTGGACGGCAGTAGAGGAGGTTGTACCACTGTCTAGCCAACACGCTTGGAAATAACTAAGCAAGAAATAACCTAATGTGTAACATTTCCCAAAATTAGATAGCGTTTCACAAAGTTTAGCATTCTCACTCGACAACTCTCAAAATTTAGAGATTTCTTTAAGGTAGTCTGGGGATATTGTGGTAAGTAGTTCAATGGTCAAATCAACTGAATCAGACACAAACATTGTCTGCTTATCTTGGCAGATAAAAGAGCTCAAGCACCTACTTTGCATTACAGTTAACAAATTAATGGAGTTTTTTCAGTTTTCATGTGTACTTACAGGATGTCAGTTGTTTAGGCGGTCATTCAATGTGGCCCAGGACGCTTTAGTGTTTACACTACAAAAGATAAGTGGTCAAATGTGTCCCAGACTGCCTCGGCAAGTGGTTTGAGTGATCGGATCACAATGCGTCTTGGCGGTCATTGTACACTTGTATTTTGAACTGTCCACTTGTGATCGGATCACCCAAGGCCTATCCACCTTTCCAAGTAAATATTTCTTAAGGGATTGTGTAACTGTGTAAACACACTGTCTTTGAATAAAAGCAAAGGTTTGTCATTGAGTTACAAAAGCATTTAAGTGTTGTTTAGTGTGGATTGTCAAGCACATGCTCTCCAACAGGCGGACAAATAGGTTTATACACACACTCAGTCATACAATGCCACCCATGCTTCGCCATGTCTTTCTACTGCTCTTTCTAACATGCACTGCTTTGTTCCTGTTTTCTGCCATCATCTTTTCTTTCCTTTTTTTCCCTCTCTAACACATTTTCTCTCCTTGACCTCTGCTTCCCCCTCTCATTCACTTCTTCATTCTATGTCAAACCTTTTTCTGACACATTTATTTTTCCTTCCCCATTGCTCTAATCCCTCTTTTTCTTCCACCTCCTTTAATCCCCCTCTTCTCTCCTCCTTCTCTCCTCTTTTCTCTTGTCTCTCTCAGATGCAGGATGCTATGGGCTATGAGCTGCCATGGGTCTATTTTGTCTCTCTCGTCATCTTCGGCTCCTTTTTCGTTCTCAATCTCGTTCTGGGGGTGTTGAGCGGGTAAGAGGTTGTGCTGTTGACATGTGTCTACAAATGTCTGTGTGTGTGTGTTGTTTGTGGTGTGGCTGTACAGTACATAGTGTTTTAGATGTGATAATTGACCATGCAACAAGACTTCCTGGACCTTCCTGGAGGCTATTGATTTTAGTTGGCTTTATTTTTAAAATTAATCTTAATAGTTTTGTGACAGTATTGTTCAACCACTGTATAAATCCAGACTCCCGTGCTGTAAAATGATCCTGTGTCAGCCTTTATTATTGTAATCCAAGATATTAACATCATCATTTTAATTGTGGACAGTTACTATACACAATAAGAGATTAATACAAAACTTGATACAACATTTACAAATGGTCCAAAATAGCATTAATGTACAGATGATCCTGGTTCAGTCAGGTGGTAAACAGAAGAAATGAAATAACATGATAACAGCACTCTCACGCCAGCAGTCCACCAGTAAAAGTAGAGCCGTCTTGAACAGTTCATAGTCTTCTACAGTCGAGGAAAGATGAACTGACGATCACTGAACTGAGCAAAATCTCCAGCTCTCTCTTCTTTCTGTTCCACTCAATCAATCCTTAGTCACAAGCCTGAGAGAAAGTCACACATACAGTACACACAGGAGAAACAGAGACGCACCCTCTGTCTATCTGTTATGTTCACGTCAGTTGACCTCAAGGGGGCCAAATCCCGTCACAACCTGTCTGTGATGGGCAGGTGCACACACACACACACACACACACACACACACACACACACACACACACCACACACACACACACAAACACACAAACCCCTCAATTTTAAAGGACCTTATTCTTTCTTAAACACCGACTGCATTTAAAGATTAATCTTGTGTGTATACAAGTGTGTTGGTTTACATACATGCTTGCTCACATTGTTTGTGTATTTGCCTACAGTAGATGCATATTTGTATAGAGGCATGTGCTGCGTGTGTGTCAATAAATGCCTCTCCAGCAGGCAAGCTGAGTGCTGTTTTACCCCACTCTGCCAAGTCACGCTGTTTTGGTACAAGCACCACCCGGCCTGTAGGGACACACTGGGGTATTAATAATTCACCCCCCAGGTCAGCCGTGGAGGTGGAATGCTAAAAAAACAGAGAGTGGAGTCTGGAGGAAACATGGCATTAAAGATGGAAATTATGGGATGGAAGGCTACACTGAATGGGGAGCCTAATTTACCATATACATACATATATATATAATATATATATATATATATATTATATAATATATATATATATATAAATAACTTAACTGTTATGTCTTTTTTATTTAACTTGAATTTTGTGATGAGCTATAAAGACCACTAGAGAGGAATATTTGTCATGAGGACAGTAATGATGTCCAATCCATGGGAGTTGCCTGCACGGTTCTGTTGCAGTGTAACAAATAAATGCATTTCTCCACCAGTGAGCCTGTATTAAAACTATGTAACCTTTCCCTTTCAACAGGAAGCCAGCTTCGTCACACTAACAGGTTAGGCTAAGAGCAGTTGTTTTGTTCTATCTTATGGGTCATTCATAGCCTTCTTTCATTATATGTTTTTATATTATTTATATGTCTATATTTATCCCAGTACATCTCCAACTTTGGAAATCATGTTGAATACAGCTGACCAATACAATTGCTCCATGTTAAGTGATCTGACAAATACTGTGAATGCACCATAATCACAGCAGGGATCGCTGCAGAAGCAAAACGGTTCCATCTGTTGGGGAAGTTTCACTGAAGATCTAACTCCTTCCCTCTTCCCCTTTCCCTCCCTTCCCCCTACATCCTTATTGCCCTTTCCTTCCTTTCATCCCTGCATTCTCAATCGACTGTCCTTGCTTACTTGGCCTTCTTTTTTTCTCGCGTCCAACGTTACCTTCTATCCATCCCATTCTGTCTCCCCTCCTTGGTCCCACTCCTCCGGTGCCTACATCTCATCCACCATAGGGTGAATTGGATGCCAGTTTAGGGTTACAAGTGGCCCTTGGGTGTATTTTTTGTTCATTCTTAGGTATGATATCTATCGGATCCTTTCTGTGTGCGTAAGGACCTTTTGGTTCTGGAGGTGAGAGATTTGCGGGTATAATTGTTGGGCGGTAAGTGTATAATAATTGTGATCACTTGTGTGATGTATTAAACTTGCGCTCTGCTCTGTCCTTCTATGCCTTGCGTATGTCTGTTTTTTGGCGGCTAAAGAGCTTTGGTCTCTTGTTTTTTTGCATTTTGTTCATGAGGTAACTACTGTTTCTTTCTGTTAACTTGTCCCTCCTGGGCTGGATGTAGGATAGGTTTTAATTGAAATAATACTGTCTATGCTTGGTTTGATACATTAGAAGCTTGGTTAGGTATGGTAGTTGTGGGTGAGTGGTGTTTATAAGTACGACCCAGGGAAGGATCCCAAGCTATTTTGGACATGAAATTGTGGTTTGTGGAGAATGATTTTTGTGTGTAGGTGGAGATCATCTATGTATTGGTCGTGAATGCTTGTGGTTACCAAAGTGTTTTAACAGTTCCACATTGTGTTGGGGTCACTGTCCCATCTTGAACTTAGAATTAATATGCTCTTCTCGTAGTTTTTTGTTGAGTCTCAATATATTCTAGTTTTTATACTGGCTGTATAGTGAAATTTGTACAGGCATCTGTGCTCTAGGACATCTTAATCGATAGCAGGGTAATTCTGCGGTTATGATGGCTTCTTTGTATTATTCGTCTTCTGCATCTATATGATGCCTAAGTATCTGATCTCACCCTGCGACTAAGCTTGAGGCATTACAGTGTTGATTGTATCCTATGTAGAATATGCACTTTTAATTGTTACCGTTTATACATTTAAAATGATATGCGCCCATTTTGCCAGTCTCTGCTACTGGGGTATGCATATAATACATTCGTCGATTATCCAATGTTATATAAATAAAATGTATGCAGTATGTAATCTCTAGTGTTGAGTATAATATTCAGGTTCTCTTGAGTACACAGACCTAATATTAACTCATAAGAATAGTTTTGGTTTTTGATAACATCTGTAATTTTTTATGTAAGTATATCATAGTTTGAATAATAGCTTGCAGCTTGTCAGATTGGAATTTTCAGCTTTGGAATTATCATTAAATATATCATTAACCTTGAGGGTTATTGATAACTTAATTGCTTTAGTTCAGTATATGAATGTCACCATCCTATACCTGCCATATATATAAATAAGTCGATTAATTATGATCATTATGTGAGTTCTCTTTTGAGTTGTAGTGTATATCTTAGTAATAATTTACTTATGAGTTAATATGGAGTCTTCTTGTTTATTTGATTCTTATGTTTAGATGGGTGATTATGTCGTTTAAGTGTTTGTAATTCAGGGTGTTGGTGTGGTGGGAAGTGGTGTGTATAAAGGTTCTACCGCCTTGTAGTCGTTGAGCTGACTGACCCGTATATTGATCGCTTGGAGCACCCACTGATGTGTATTGTATATGTGTGACAGCGATCACTGGTGGAAAATTTGAGCTAGTGATTAGAGTCGTGTCATAGATGGTTGGAGACGGGTTTTTGATTGGTTTGGGCTTCGGTTCCTGAACTCTTTTGTCTGACTGTCTCTTTTGTTTTCTGACTTCTTGATGCTTAATTTATGTATTGCGTGTCAGCACACTTACACAGCCTTGACCTATTTGTTTGACCACTTTCGCTGTTTTGTTTCCATGGAGTAGTTGGTGTGTATTCTCAGAAGATTTGCATATTTTATGACGTAAGAGGCTAAACATTGTTAAAGGAGGCAACGTATTGTGTATCAGGTGTGACGTGTGGAGTATGGTTGATTTATGTATTCGATAGTGGTTTGAATTGATGATTTGTAATGG